TTGTTGTAGACAGAGTGTCTGAGCTGGTGTTGCTGCTGGAACTCATCTTTTTGACATATATAGAAAAATGATGTCTTTTATCCAATCTAATCTTAATTTCTCTTCTATTGCTTTGTATGGAAATCTAAATACTATGTGATGGTGACTGCCTCAAGGTGGTCTTTCGGCAACAGGTCCACTTCCTAATGTTGCACCTTTTAATGCACGCATCCTTACATTTTGCGTTTATGTACGTTGTATTTTTTGTACTGTACTGTTTTGTTGCCTTTTATCTTGTCCACCTGACTGTGAGATAAGTTGAGATAAGTGAGATCACATCACAACGACCTGAACTCTGTCGGGTTGGGGTATTGTGTTTTTTTTAATATTCAGTCGCTGTTTAATTTGGGGTTGTAGCTGTCCTCTCTTTCAGCATGACTCATCTGTCAAAGGTGCAGTCTGTGCAATAGATGTTGACTAGAACTGATGCTTTCAGTGATGTGACCATCTCAGATAGGTTGTAAGATTTGTTGGTTAAATTTGTCCCTTCTGTCTGTGCTCTGTAGATTTGCGTGTAGATGAGCTTGTTAACACGAGATGAGTTCGTGACAAATGTGGAATGCTGGGTATAGCCTGACCTGTGACGTCTGAGGCCTTAGGTGTGGCTGGCATGGCAGTGATACATGTTTGTGGGTGAGTCAACAACATTTGACCATGCACAACTATACTGCATTTGTTTCTCTGACAGTAGCTATATTTTTACTGATACTGTTCTCTGTCAATACTGCATTTATTTTCTCTGCTGGTTTAACTCAAGTTAAACTGGCCACTACAGAAGCTCCTACAGTTAAATGTTCTTATTTTTAGTTACATACATCTCCAAAGATGTTTTGACCCTTTTTTGAGAAATCTAAACATTATGCATTACACTTGCTGTGTCATTATAATTTATATTCCCTGAATTCAAATACTGGTTCTTGTCACTAAATTAAAGGACAGCTTTTATTTAGCAGTGGATACAACGCTTGACAGATTATTGTGGTCGTTGAATCCATTCAATGGTAGGCCTACAGTTTAAAGCTAAAGGATGTTGAGAAGTAGAATTAAATTAGAGGAGATTTCTTTTTTAATTTTGCATTATCAAAAGTTGAAAAGTCCAGAA